AAAAAAAGAGTTCTTTTAATATTTAATTTCCTGATAGGATCAATAATGCATTTCTGAATCGTTTTGAATTAAATACTTGCATTTAATAGATATTAATTAGATCATCATATAGTCTAAATGCTTACTGTTCTCTGCTGATTGACCAGCAGGAACACCATAGCGCTTATATTATGTTTAGGTAGGATGTTTTACTAAAATTAAAGTTTCAATTTTTTGGTTATTTCTAATGAATATCTATAATGAAAACGTGGAATTATATTTTACAGTGCATGGTTGTATTTCCGAACAGGTTGCTTTTCATTTTTGACCGAAAAGCCAGAGAGCAGAGGGGTGGTAATGCGCGTCCAATTCTTCCTGCCGATCGATCAGACTGCGGATAGATCGATATGGCACCAGGGCTATTGATCACCATGGTCCTCTATATTGCTGGGGCGCTTTCAAATGCAAATGCACCTAAATAGTAATCTATGGCAACACACTAATTCCTTAACAAACTGCAGCCAAACGCTTTACAAACACAGCGATTCAATGTGCAACTGATTCCTCTTTTTTTCTTTCTCATTCCTTTCATTCAACATGTAAGGTCTTTTATATCTGGCCGCAGAGGCTGGCTGTGAAACAAACTGTTTAACAGTAGGCTGCCGTTTAAAGATTTAACAGGACAAACACGGTGCATTCAAAATGCGGAGTGACATTGATTTGGCCTGTGGGCTATTGAAACTTTGGAGAAAATCTTAGGCAAGTTAAAGGTCTGAGCGAATATTGAAAGAAAAATATATATACTACACGGTAAAGAACGTCTTAGAATAAAAAAAAAAAGGGTTCCTACATATGCTGAATACACTGTGGAGGCTGCACTTCATGGTGAGGTGTTGCACATCCAGTCAGCCTCCGCTTATTTAGGGCAAAGCCACGGGCAAACATGCAGATGCTTTGAGTTTTATCTCCAGAAGGGCCACACTAGTGTGGGGATTGGGGAAGAGAGCGTCCCGCTGACTTGCTCAGAGGCCTGATCAATGCGACATTACTAAACACCGCTACTTAACTTTTGCCAATAGCCAGATTCAAGTAAATATACTTTAGAATACATTAGGCGTGATGCATCAGCCGTGGAGTCATTCAAGAAGTCATGAAAAGATTAGTCTGTCTCTATCGAGTGATTCCTGGGAAAATAGACAAGCTTAGCGGGGGAAAAGCTCATCCAACGGAGGACACACTTGCCCAGATACAGTGGAGATATGAATTTATTGAACTTTTACTTTTCTTTAATGAAAGTTTTAAAGAAAATGAAATAAAAAAAGGGAAATTAAGGTGCAACGTCTGCTCTTCAATCCCAGGACTTCCACAGACAGGGTTTATCAGATTCAAAGAGTCCTTTGAAAAAGTATTGAAAAGGTTTTAGCTTAAAAAGAGACAATTACACTGCAACAACGATCTAGAAATAAGTGAAAATGTCTTAAATTAAGTAAATTTGAGCGGGTAAATAAGATCGTTTGCCAATGGAAATTGTATTTTTATTCTTAGAATAAAATAATTAGATAATTTGTACTGTTTTCTTATTTTAAATGTAAATTGTGTCATTTCATTGGTAAAGTGTCACCTCAATTCAAGAAAAATGCACTTAAAAAAAAAAAAGGACTTATATAGATTTACATTTTTTTGCAGTGCAATCCTAACCGTCTTTTATTAGCATTATAAAACAATAGAAAACGCTGGGTTTGTTTTCTGAAATCTGAAAATAACAGACATGGATAAAATTGAATGAAAAATAATTACCATTAAAAAATAAAAAGCACATTGCACTGTTTACACGGGATATATTAAGATTATTAACTTTATATAATTCTATACGATGTGTGCGCAAAACAATTTTAGATAGTATTTTGTCTCGACATGACATCTCTTCAACACATAATTTATTGCTACCAAAAATAAATGACTTTCACCTTAATGTCATGAGGTAAAACGAGTTCTAAAAATGCTGTGCGAATTAAGATAAAATACAGACATGGAAAACATTTTTGCGCATTTGGGTATTTTTGTCACCATCAAGCCATCAGAAAATCCTCGAGCTGTGCTATTGGTCCATCATTGATTACTACATCGACATCATTTTTTTTTTTTAAAGCGAAAGGGGATTTTGGAAGTCATCAAAAGATACAGCCACTAATCGCTACTGCTGGAAAATATACCACAACTTTAGAAAATAGAACCTGGAGTGATAAACATGTGCGTTAAAGCGCGCCCACAGCCTACTGCACAATCACTGCAGAGTCGATGCCAAAATGGTGCTCGGCTGCATTTATTAATATAAAATCACCATTCTGTGCAGCATCGCCCCAGTCACAATGGCGATATTGACAAAGTTAATATTTTATATTGTATTTGCCATAGGATATTCTCTTTTTGTTCTGAGAGCAGTGCATTAAAATACAAATCAAAACTAAGCTTTAGGCGGATGCGCATAGTTTAAGAAGTAAAATATGTGTGTGTGTATGTGTGTGTTGGGGGGTATTTTACATTTAAATTTAATTTTGACTGGAATAGATTCGATCAAGAACGTAGATAGAATCAACAGTGATTGATTTAAAATTGACACAGGATCCTGATCGGTTCCCTATAACCTTTTGACCCCGAGCATGCATTGTTTCAATCTCTGGGAAATAACTCCACGCATTGGATTATATCAGGCTGCATACGGCGCAGAAAGTGTTGGTGCTTTCGGTGAAAGTTTCAAACTTTTCTTTACGTCGTTTTGGGGATTCTGGTTCCCGATGAATTAGGAGCAAAAGAAGCGGCAGTGAAAGTTAACATCCATCACCACCGCGGCCAATTCGCTGCTGTGGCCGACTGAGCGTGCACAGATGACGGATTCGCTGCTGCGCGGGTTTCGGTAATTCATTTTCGATAGCCATGCTTACTGGGATCAATAGGCAGACATTAACCCAGGCGGACACTGCTGTTCTCCTGATGCCACCGAGCCACCTTTTCCCTGGTTGGCAATGTGTAAAGATTATTTTTATTTTCTATTTTTGTTGTGTCATGCACAATGGGAGAGGAACTTCGTGTCAAGGCCAGCGATATAGCAATTATGAAAAAGTTTATGGATGATCTTGACCTAAAAGTGATCAGGATTGTTTTATATAATTAGCAGAAGATAAGTGACTCACTTCCTGAATTATTTGGCTACTTCTTCTTAAACCAACTTCAGGTCGAATTCCTAATGATCTGAATTTACAGCAGTTAAAATGCCAAACATGTTTTTTAACAAAGTATTTCAAAGTCAATGTTTGTATGGGGGTATTTAAAAGCTGGGGTGTCACATCCATAATGTAAGTAGCAATAACCGATTTGATTTAGTTTAGGATTTGAATGCAGGGCCAGCCCAAGGCATCAGCGACCTATTGCTGCTGAGCATGGAGCCTCGAACATCAATGACTTCTCAAGGTTGAATTTTGTAATTCCACTGACCAAAACACTTATTTTAAGATTGATTTGAACCTTTTGAATGAAAGATATAGAAAATAAAATATTATTTTAAATGTAAAGCAGATTTAATAATATAGTTTGTCTAACTGATATCTGGTTCCTCTTACAAACCTCTGACAGTTTGTAAACACACAGATCCACGCAATGAAAATAAATCACCTTTTTTCTTTCACGTGTGGACAATTTTGTTAATCAGCGTCCTCCACCTGAACCGACATAGTTTTGTCATGCCTGGATTTTAAAAAGTCAATTTTCACTCTCTGCTTACTTTGGTGTAAAAGCAAATCTGCCAAATCTGACACAGTAAGGGCGTCAAGACCCAATGAACTGCTTGTTTTAATTGCCATGGGAAAATAATAAATATAGAAAATAAATTAATTAATAAATCGAGGTTAGACTGCACAAAGTTGATCATTAGAACATCTTGTGCGTAAGGCCTGTGACCCTTCGGTTAGAATTAAACTAATAATAATATAATAAGTTGTGCTGCTGCCTCGAATTGAAAAAAACGAAGGCAAAAGTTATAAAGAAGAATTAAAAAAAGCGCAAAATATATTTCTGTTAACACTTTGACCTTTTGATGAAGTTGACACTCTTATCTCCCCTTACAACCTGATCTTAGACGTGCAAGATGCTGTTTTGCACCCATATATCCGGGGCTCCTGCCATAGGCACCACACCAACTTATATCGACGCAGCTCCTGATCCATACGCACTCTGACACTGATGGATGACTGAACTGGATTGACATGAGCGAACGGCAGATTTCATGCAATAAGTTTGCAATAAGGGCGGGAGAAGTTTTGTGCGAGTTTGATTTTCATGGTTTCAGCCAGTCCAAGTTGCATGATATGCAGGAGAGGGGTCAAAGCCTAGAGGCTATAAAGAAATAACAATCCATATTTTATGCAGTAGGAAAGAAAATAACTTATATGAAAGCGCGATAAATGGCAAGAAGGTGACAGGACTTAACAGCTCTTATAGTCCAGATGTAAACTATGATAAAATAACAGATGTTGTGGTTTAAGATTTTAATTATCTTTAAATAAAAATAACATATTAGAAATACTTTGAGTTGATTTATAAGGTATGAGCCTATTTTCTCCTCCAACTCACAGGCTGGTGTGACACGTCAATTAATATTTAACCTTCAACAGAGCCATCACATGCGCTTCTGGCGCCTTTTATCAGAGGAAAACAAGGAGCAAGACCTTCTTATCCGCTCGAGTGTAAATGTTGCACACTCTTTAAAGGATTGCACTTTTGTGTTTTTATCTGACCCGCCTAATGTAATCTTTTCTCGGCGATTCTAGGTTCAGTTTGCAACATGAACAACAAAACGCATGACACTCGTTGGAAAGGGGAGGTAGTGACGTCAGATTGCCCCCCTAGACGGAGCTTAACGAGAGCGAGGATGCACGGCCCGCGGGGGCGCGCACATGCGCACAGACTCGGTCTCGACTTAACAGGAGCGAGAGGGGCGCGTCAATATACACACCGCCGAGCCGAGCAGAGCAGCGCTTTGGGTATAGTAGAAGGTGCTGAAGAGTGAGAGTAATCTGGGGCAGGCGCAGAAACACTCCACACGCCTAGCTGAGGTTTTTGGCGGCGCGGATATATATTTATATATAGCCTATATATTTTTGTTTGGGAGGGGGTTGGCGATCTTTTAAAACCATGCTGGATTGACTTAGAGAAAGCAGCTGTAATCAATGGCGTGGCTTTGAAATCGTTGACAAATTATTGGGAAAGGAGTGCGAGACAGAGCGACAGTGGGGAGAGGGAGAGAGCGGCGAGAGAGAGGGCTGGAAATAAAGATTCCTTTCAGCGATGGAGCTTACAATGGAGAACATCGGAAATCTGCACGGCGTGTCTCACTCTCATCAGACAAGCGACTTAATGAACTCCCCGCACGCGCGTCAGTCAACAGCGTCGCATCGGAACTTGGTGTCGCACGGGCGCTCAGCCATGGTGTCCAGCATGGCCTCGATACTTGAGGGAGCCGGGGACTACCGCACAGACCACGCTCTCTCCGGGCCCCTGCACCCGGCCATGACCATGTCCTGCGACTCAGGAATGAGCCTCAGCAGCACCTACACCACACTGACGCCGCTGCAGCACCTGCCCCCCATATCCACCGTATCGGAGAAATTTCACCATCCTCATCCTCATGCTCACCATCATCCGGCGCACCAAAGGCTCGCTGCTGGGAATGTCAGCGGCAGCTTCACCCTGATGAGAGATGACCGCAGCCTCGCCTCTATGAGTAACCTCTATGGCCACTACCCCAAAGACATGTCCGGAATGGGGCAGCCCCTGTCCCCGCTCTCTAATGGCCTTGGTTCTCTACACGGGTCGCAGCAGACCCTGAGCGCCTATGGTCCTGGAGCTCACCTGTCTAACGACAAGATGCTTTCGTCAGGGGGGTTCGAGTCCCACGCAGCCATGCTGTCCCGGGGCGAGGATCACCTGGCTCGAGGTCTCGGGGGCCACGGGGCCGGGCTCATGACATCCTTGAACGGCATCCACCATCACAGCCATCCGCACACTCAGGCAAACGGATCGATGCTGTCGGACCGGGACAGGCAGACGGTGGTAGGTGGAGGGCAGGGAGCCGGGTCGGGACAGGTGGAGGAGATAAACACCAAGGAAGTGGCGCAACGGATAACGGCGGAGCTCAAGCGCTACAGCATTCCGCAGGCTATCTTCGCGCAGAGGATCTTGTGCCGGTCCCAGGGAACTCTGTCCGACCTACTGCGGAACCCTAAACCGTGGAGTAAACTCAAATCCGGCCGAGAGACGTTCAGGAGGATGTGGAAGTGGCTGCAGGAGCCTGAGTTTCAGCGGATGTCAGCGCTCAGGCTTGCAGGTGAGTGAGGAGACAGCTACCAACCTGAGTGATGTGGAGGGATCAATCTGTAGTCAATGTGGCGAGACTGCCAATAGCTGCTCAAACAGACATTACTTGAAGTTATTAGTCGATCGTATCGAGTAAAACTTCATCATGACAGTTGGGGTGTTAAATGTGGTGGAGGATCTATATTTTGATTAATGCCACAATCCACGACTGTATAAACAAAAGCTGAGGGATAAACAAAGAAGCGGACATGTGCGACCGCAGTCTGCAGACTGGTTGGCTTTGGCGCTCCTGCAACACATTTAAGCACAGACGCAGACTGGGAAATAATCTACTCACTTGTCTGTTTTTCTCTTTCATTACTGCATATTTAAAGTAAAACCTGACGAAAAGAGTAAAGCAAATAGCAATGAGAATTCCCTCCTGATTTTCTGCTTTTTAATTGTTAAAAAAAGTATTTAAACGAGCATTTCATCCGCCCTTACCAACAAGGATGCAGTGTGAGGCCCGGCCAAAGAGCCAAAGGGAGCATGACCTCCTATGGATCAATATTTCAGGTCCAGGCATCCCTTTCATTGTAGCGCACTGATAAAGGATCGATTTGGACCTGAAAGGCAGGGACACAAACAGATGCGTCTTTCTTTGGCCCTGCACTGTGTCCCTTGTGCACTTTTGGGACATCACGTCTCCAAATTTGATTTAAAGGCCTGCACGGTCTCTCTGCAGCCTCAGAGAATATTATTTGTAGTTATTTTGTTAAACAATACCCCCCAACCCCCCACCACCCTTACGTCTACCAACGAACGTCCCTCCGTTTTGATTTCACTGCTTGATCAGTGGTTTCGATTTTTATTGCGCAAAGATTATCACATTAAGGCTGTGATTTGAAACCCTCACACCCCCGCCCTCACTTTAAACCCCCTTTAACACCTGATTAACGGGACATAAATGAAAAACGAAAAAGCCACAGCGATGTGAGTGAAAGGTCCCCCCCTTCTCATCGATGTTTGTGTAAAGACCCCTGTTTAGACGAGCTGCGCTTCCAAACGTCAATCAGCGCTTCTCCGCCGTATTTCAGCGAACAGTTCAATTAAGCGGATATAGTGGCATATTTTAGTTCCAGTCAATGCCCTATTGAAAAGCGCTTAATGGCATGTAAATTGTTCCTTTGCGTATTTAGTGGGGGTTCTGGTAAATAAAGATTTAAACACTCCACAATTGTCTCTTTAAGTGGCACTGCTGTTAAAGCTAATTGGGCTGTGGGGTTTTATATCTTCCACTGGCGGCATCAGGATAAAACCTCCAGTTGAACTGAAGCCTCAGAGCTGTACAAGTGCTTACCTACTGCATATTTCACGGTGGAAGGACTCAGGCCTTCTCAAGGTGGCAAAATCCAATGTTTTTGCTTTCCTGCGCTTCAGTATGGAAGGCAGGTTGTGCCACAACCCTATAGCTAAATAAAAAAGTAGCCCATATGATACATTTAAATAGAATATATTGTCTTATGTGAAAACCTCACGACAATCATGATTTCGTTTTATACATTTTTTATTTATTTATTTTATTATGCCATGTGAGACATGTAGAATGCATTGGCTGAAGGGGCATAAGGGAACATTATTCAGCCTATAAATATGCACCTCCCTGTTGCCCCCTCATACACACCAAGTATCTTTGCATTCATAAAGTGCATACATTTAGGAATGAAAGGTGCCATCATTTATTTAGAGGAGTTATAACCTGGTATTTTACAAATAAAATCCCTCTTAAAATGTTTTTTTTTTTCTATTAGGAGGAAAAACTCAAATAGAACTAATTTAGATCCTTTTGATGCAGACTTTTTTCAGCACTGGGGTATTTTTGAAAATTGTATCGGTGTTGTTATATGTTCATGTGGATTTAGCATTAGCAACATTAGCAGTTTTCTTTACCATTGTTTCCTGGTTTATTACACAATAAGTAAAAAGTTACACAAGAAGGACCAATGTCTGCAGGTCAGCCCCGGATTGTTGGAAATGCCTCTTTTGGTGGAATATGGGTGTGGTGATGGCAAGTCTGGATTATGTTACATCTCTTCCACAAATTACACAAATCAAGGAAGAAAATTGCGCTCTGTGTGGAGAGCGCACCCTTGTGGACTTTTCTGGTTTGAATAAAGAGCCCATGTATAAAAAAACAACAACAACAAAAAAACCAAAACAAAAAAACAACAACAACAAAACTAATAAAGAAAAAAATAATAAGTCAAACTCTGTATTAATCATTGGTTATAACTGAGGCCCAGCATCAACACACACTTTAAGATAAAAAAAATCAGATTTCTGAGTGATTATAATACACTTTACATTAGTAAGCTGTCAGTTTTGTCATTCACAGCTTTTTGAATGCCTATCACTTCCTGTAAACAAACTTAGTACAACAAATAGGAGTTACTGTATTTTAATTTCCTTTTTATTTTCATTTTCAATGCTTGCTAAAAAAAAAAAGAAAGTTCTAAAATATTTTGAAAAGTATTTTTGGTATGTAGGTAGCATAAAATATATTTCTTTTAAGGCTTTTGGATTTGGTAGATCAAGCCAAGACTATTAGTGTCTCCTATCTGGCTGCCTCTTAGAAAACCTTCTGGAAGTCTCCCTGTGTATGCCAATATGTGAATTAAACAATTATTTTGGCTTGGCAAAAGACTGTGATGTAGAACATATCTTATATATTATCTATATCTTTTTTTTTCAATTTTTATAGATTTAAATACTTAAAGGTTTGTTTTATATAATCAAAAATCTTTGTGCTGGATCGTGGCACATCTAAACCTACATAAAACAAAGCACATTCTTTAAGCTTAATGTATTCACAGGCCATGCTTGTAATCTAATGCCATCCTTCAAACTTCTCTTCATATCTGCTGCATTGTTTAAGTATATACCTTAATGTGCATCCCCCTGCCACCAGAGCAGATCTCAGGGAGATTCCAGTTGGTCTAAATGACAAATGACTCTTATGCAAATATTGGGGGCTACATTTTACTTACTGCATTTAAATTCACGATTATCCTCCGAGCACATGTGGGCTGGGAGTGGGAGTTAGTGGGGATTGGAAGGGGGGGTTGTGTTGCTGAAAGTGAGGCTGGGCCATACTCGCTCGGCCACATCAATCAATAAATTCAAATTACTATTCCAAATTCATCACAGTCACACAAATCAATGCAGTTGCCCTGCTTAGCTAATGTGAAAACGCCAGTGTCTGCACAGACACACACACACGGACCCACACACTCAAATGACAATCCACTCCTGAAAGGAAAACAGGACAGAGATGTGGGCACTATTTGGGGGGCTTATGCTGTGTCCTTCACATTAAATCAACGAGGGAAGGGACATGGAATGTTTTGCCTTACAGTTTTGAAAAGCACGGCTGTTTCCACAGCACTCTGAACATTAGAGAGTCTACTTTAAGTTTATAAACAAACAGCTTCATTGCAAAGCTGCAGGTGTACAACAGACACAGGAAAAGGTGAGGTTTGGAAGGCATTTAAAGATCGCATTAGCGATGAAAACAATTCGTCTTTGCATCTGTGTTGAATTCCACACTCCATCTCAATGTATTTGGTCGGATCAATACACCCCTGATCAATAAGGATAGCCAGTGCATCTATCAATTATCCCGCCTCAGCACTCTCACCCATTGGTCTCTCCCCTGGAGCAGAGAGAAGCAGAGGGCGGTGGGAGCTGGAAAAGGTTGTGGGAGAGGGGACAGCTGTTATTTAAAAAAAAAGTGCACACCTTTTTTTTTTCTTTGTTCTAATCAGGTCATCTCTGTTGAGTGTAGTTCACACTCACATCACTTGTCAGGACATCTGGGCAATATTTTTCCCTTCCACTTGTAAGTCAGATAAACACTTAAATGCTATATCAATCTGTAATACAGCATATCTCTATATTGCAAGTGAAGATATGTTATGGCATGTTGAGCTAACTCTTCCTGGAAATAAACAAAAGAGCTCGGCGGAAAAAGAGCAGCATTAGATTCATTACCATCTGAATGACAACAGCACGTGCTAGGGTGTGCAGGTCAAGACCCTTAGGACACAGGACAAACATGGTGGAAAATTAGGGAAGGGTAGGCCTCTATTCATGTTTCAATGGACTGCAAGCAGTTTGCACAGGCTTAATACAAGAGCAATATTAATACTTCACTCACTCCATCAACCTGCACTATTCCTTTTCAGGGCTATAAACCATCATCATGCATGTCTAGTGTATGTGGCTGCATGGTAAGGATTTTTCTACTAAATGAGATGGCGGTAATTTGAGACTAATTCAAGCCTAATCTTATTTTAAGGTTCTCATGTTGAAATATTCTAAGGAAAAATTATGAATTATAATTTTTAAATTTGTTACTGATATCTGAAACAAAGAGTCAAAAGATTGAAAATATATATTAATGATTAATTAACTATTATTGAAACATATCAATTTATCAAATGAATGTCAAATAATGTAATTTCCGAGTTATACCTTAAAACCATAAGTAATGTTTCAGTATTAGATAATTTTGTGACTAATTTTCTCCATTTCCCATTGAATAAATCAAATGAACAAGTAAGGAAGAAGGTAACATGACTGAGCGAACTATGCATTTTTGTAGATTTTAGCTATATATTTTTTTTCCAATTTCCAATTGAGTATTTTCACAAATTCTTTTTGATTATGGAACTTTTAGCTCTCCATGGCTGAGGGTTTAATACTGCATCACGGTTTAATACAGTGAGTGCTGTCTATGGTGCTGAAATACAAAGCATAGTAAGCTGCGGCATTCAACTAATTAACTGTTAAATTTGGATTGAGTTCGTGTTTATTTGTTGAAGGTGTACTGTTTCAGTGTTTTTATTCAACGCATACTAAATTGATCAATCACAGAGTTTTTTTTAAGTTGCATTATGGCACTATTTTGGGCTCTCTCCAATGCAAGGGCGTTCATTGTAGCAAGTGCTGTCCGTGGTGCTGAAATCTTCC